CTCCACCTTCTCCAGCTCCTCCGACGAGAGCTGCTGCTTCCCGGCCTCCTGGGACAACCGGGAGACCGCGGGGAACCCGGGCTCCGACACCGACTGGGCCACCGGGGAGGACGAGCTGATGGAGATGGAGGAGACCCCCGGGCCCCCGGCGCGGCCCTGGGCCAAGCCCCGGCTGGACACGCAGCCCCACAAGGCTCCGTCCCGGATCCCCACGCCCCGGGGGTACGGGGCAGGCGCCCAGCGGGCCCCGAACGGCAGCCCCAGGGCCTGGGGGGCTCTGCAGAGCGTCCCCCCCTCCCTCCTGGAGCCCCCCTGGAACCCGCGGGAGCGCGGGGGACTGGAGGAGAATGCGTGGCCGTGAGGGGTCGGTGGCCATGGCAGCTCCTGGTGGCTCCTGGGGACATCCCCGGGCTGCTGCGGGGGGACTGAGGTGGCTCCTGTGTGGAGGTGCCCGGCCAGGTGATGGCCACAGAGCCGGGGCGGCCAGGACCTCTTCACTTGGTGGCTGTTGGCGTTGGGGTGGGACCTGCAAGGAGCCCCCAGCCAGGCCCAGAGGGTGCCAGGGGTGTCCCCAAGCCATGGGGAGCAGCTCCACAGCGGGGGCAGAGCTGGCACCTGGGAACGGGGCTGGAGAGCACTCTGTTCTTCCCGTCTTCATCTCTCATTCTTCACTTGTTTTCATCATCCTGACCTTTTCTTGTCCTCTCCTCCTCTTCTTGCTATTTCTTGTCATTCTCCTCATCTCATCTCATCTCTCTCTTTTCTTGGGCTGCCTCCTCTCCTCTCCTCTCGGCCTTCACCTCCTTGTCCCTCATCATCTTCTCTTCTTGACCCTCCCCTCTTTTCTTCTTGGCCTCTTGTCATCACCTCCTTGGCCACTTTCTCATCTCTCCAGTCTCTTCTCTCCACCCCTGGGATGACTTTGGGACATGTTGGTCACCACTACCCCTATTTCAGGGCAGGAGGGGTCACTCCTCCCTCCCCAGCCCCCAGCTGGCCACAGCACTGCCCACAGCTCGTGTTGATGTCCCCGGGGTGGGACAGGGCTGTGTCCCCAGCCCAGGCCACCGTGGCCCCCACCCCTGTGGCCCTGCATGTCCTCTCCAGCCAGTAAAGACCAATGGAGCTGAGCCCACCCTGTGTGCTCATCTGTCCAGGGGGATGCAGACCCCCCAGCCCAAGGGGGGAAGGCTCTGGGGGTCCCAGGAGGGGTGGGAGCAGTGAAGAGCTGAGGTGAGGCTGCATCCCAACATCCTGTACCCACTGCAGCCACTGGCACCCCTCCAGAGCTGTTCCTGGAGCCCAAAGTGCCCCATGGCCAGGGACCTTCACCTCAGGGCTGCTGGCCCAGGGGGACACAGCCACGCTCCGAGGGCCGGGCACGTTCTGGTCACCAGCCCTGCTGTGACTGGGGGTTCCAGAGCAGGGTGTCCACTGTGGTCCCTGGACACCTGCCCTGCCTCTCCTCGGGGGTGGGGCTGCTGTCCAGCCCCAGAGTAGTGCTGGTGGCCCATGGGGTGTCCCAGAGCAGCTCCAGTGCTTTGTGGGGTGTCCCAGAGCAGCTCCAGGGATTTATGGGGTGTCCCAGAGCAGCTCCAGTGACTTGTGGGGTGTCTCAGAGCAGGACTCAGTGGTGCTGCCCATCCTTTCCAGGGACCAGGTCCCCTCCTGGGGACCCCATGCGTGTCCCCAACCCCCAGAGGGGCTCAGGGCACCCAGAGCCTGTAGGGGGTGCAGGGCCAGCTTGTCCTTGGTGGATCCCTGAGAGGCTCCAGGAGCAGAGCCAAGAGCTCTCCAGGCCCATCCTGTCCCCAAGGGGTGACAGGCCCCGTGTCCCTGGTGCACAGGCCCGGCCCCTGTGCTGTGTCAGGCCTTGCTGTGCCAGAGGCCACTGACCCCAGTGAGGTTTATCTGCCCCTGCAGGGCTGGCAGGAAGCTCCAGGGTCCCCTCGGGGTCACCAGGCCACGGCCACCCCGGTGCCCCCCTCTGTCCAACATTCCCTTCACACCAGTGAACGTTACAATATATTTATCTTTCATATATTAGAGATTTCCTGCTTCGAGGGAGGGGGGGACCCATGGCTTGATTTGGGGGGAAAGGAGCAGTGGGAGCCCCAGGGGAGCACCCAGGGGTGCTGGGGGGAGCAGAGGGAGCCGTGGGGCTGGGCAGAGGGATGGGCTCAGAGCCCTCCCGGCCCCGTGGCAGGTGCTGGAGGGGGCTGGGAAAGCCCTTTTTAACCATCACATTAAGTACAGCCTCAAATTTGGGATCCTCAAGCTCTTCTGGGAGCTTTGGGAAGGGCTCCCATGGGAAGGAGAGCCTCTGTGAAGGGCTCAGCCACAGCTCTGCTGAACCCGGGCACAAAACCAGGGAGAGGCAGAGAGAGGGGGAAGGAGCCAAAGCTGTTTCCCACCTGCTCCAGCCCCAAATCCCAGAGCTCCAGGGGGATCTGCAGCCAGAGCCACCTAATCCCACAGCACTCTGGGCTCCCCCCAGCCGCTATTCCCGGGGTTTGGAATGCTGAACCCACCACCAGAGACCACTCCAGGAGAGCCAGGAGCAGGAGTTTTGGGAGCTCCCAGCCCGAGGGTGAAACTGGGATGTGGAGGGAGCATCAGCAGCTGGGAGGACACGGAATTGCTCACACACAGATTGCTACAGGGATGCAGGAACTGGGGACAGCCCCCCGCCCCCCCCAGCCCCCCCAGGACAGGGAGAATCCCAGGGACTGGATCCTGGGCAGGAAGGAAAGGGGACATGCACACGGATCCGGCCCTGCTTCCTCGGGCGGGAAAGGGAGGAGAGGAGGAGGAGGAGGAGGGGCTGCAGCAGCACCTCAGTTCTTCAGGATGGTCTCGTAGGCCTGGTAGATGTACTGGGACACCTCTGGTGCTCGGCATTTCAGGGATAACTGTGGGGAGAGAGAGAAGAGCGGGGTCATGGCATCCCATCCCGTGCTGGAGAGCCACCAGCCCCAAAGCAGAGCCCTGCATGCTGCAGCACCCTCCCACAGGACAGCCCAGCTCCTGATTTCAGCTGGAAAAAAGTTCTTAAACCCCTACAAGCCCTCCCAGGGCAGAGCCATCCACATGCAGCACAGGCAGGGAGCAGGCAGGGGCAACACTCCAGCTTTTGGGATTGGATTCAGTGCCTAGCGCTCCAGGGTGACGGGTTCCCCAAAAAGATCCTGCTCTCTTGAAGAGGAACAAGCCCCTTCAGTTGTTTGCTTAAATATTAAATCATTCCAAAATCAATTAGCTCCTCAAGCACGGAAGGTTCACGGAGAATCCCCTGGGATAAGGATCTGTAGCTGTCCTCATCCCCAGTGAAACCAGGAGGGGACATCCCAACCCTCCTTGTGCCTGCCCTGCTGGGAAGGAGAGGCAGGGCAGGGAAAAACATCGGGGGAGGAAGGAGCATCCAGGCAGCAGCCAGGGAGAGCCCAAAGCCAGGGAAAATCCAGTCTCTAACCTCCAGATCCTGCAAGAGCGGGCAGGCCGGCGAGGGCGGGCGGGCGGCGGGGACGGAGACACAGAGAGAGGAGTCAGGGTGACACAGCTCGTCCCACCCCAAAGAGAACAGGCTGCCAGCAAGGTGGGGAGGGGACAGGGACAGCAGGACACCGGGATGGCTCATGGATGAGGTGTGGATAGATCCCTGCTCAGGGAATGCTCCGAGGACGGGGTTTAATGGAGCTGGGTGGGTTGGGAGCCCTCTGTGTCCTTCAGCTGTCCCCACAGGAGCAGTGTCACCCTCCCCACGAGAGAGGGACAGCGGGGCTGGCACCAGCACCTCCAGCAGCTGGGGAGGTCCCAGCAGCAGGGATGTGCCCCCCAGCTCGGGGCAGGGAAAGGCAGGGAGCTGCCCAGGGGGGTTGGGACGGGATGTACCGTGAGGTTGGGATTGCTGGGCTGGATCCGGAGCTCTGCCAGCACCCAGATGCCGTTGGTGAGCTTCAGGGACTGGTAGAGCATGTCCTGGCCCTCCACGTTCCTCTTGGCAACGGTGAAGATGTTGCTGCCTTGGAGTTTGCTGCTCACAGCATCTGGGATGGGAGAGAGGGGCTGAGGGGCTGGGCTGACCCCCTGCTACCCTTGGACCTGCTCCTGCCCCATCTCCTCCCCTCCTTGTCATGGAAGAGGCTTAGATTGGGCATTAGGGGATATTTCCTCATGGAAAGGAGGGTGAGGATGGCCCAGGACAGTGCTGGAGTCCCCACCCTGGAGGGATTTAACAGCCACGTGGATGTGACACTTGGGGACAGGACCTGAGCCAGGTCCTTCCGAGGGGTGGGACCCACCTGCATTGAGGGAACAGTCTTTGATCTGGAACTGGGTCTCATTCTCGTTGGGAATGTCCTTCCAAGTGGCCAGGAACATCTGCCTCTCTGCAGGGAGGGAGGACATCAGCACTGAGGGAGCTGCCACCCACAAAGGTGACACAGGGGACATGACACAGGGACATGTCACCCTTCCACCCCCTCCAGCAGCTCCCCAAGGGCAGGCTCAGGGCAGCCACTTGCCTTTGGGGGCTCAGCCCGTGTGATCAAGAAGGTTCCAGGGGCTGGGATGGCACCTAGGGACAGGTGACAGAGTGCACCTGGCTGGAGCCATGGTCACACAACTCACCCATCTTGCCATCCTCCACGAACAGGATGTGCAGGGGGTACAGGGTGCTGAAGTAGAAGACGTCAATGTTGTTCTTCACCGCCACCTGGGGTGGAAGGACACGGGGATTTCAACACCCACAGCAGGCTCCCAAAATGTCCCGTCCCATCCCTGTGGAGCCAGGTGTCACTGCAGAAAGCACCTGGCTCCTGCTGCCACACCTCCCTGGGGATTCTCCAAGGGACCCTGCCCATCCCCAGCTCCCCAGGAGGGGACACCCCTGTGTTCCCCACCTGGAGGTTGTTGAGGGGGTCCATCTTCATGACGGAGCCCACGGTGTTCAGGGGCAGGGAGATCTCCACGGACTGGTTGGGAGCCAGAGGCGCGTGCACCTGCAGAGGAGCTGCTGGGGCCAGGCCGAAGCTGGGGGACACCAGGGAGGGCAGGAGGTCAGGGTGGGGACAGCAGGTGATGGCACAGGGTGTCATCCATCCAGCCCTGGCGCTCCCTGCCCTCCTCCAGTGGCATCCCAGGAATCGCCTTGCTGCCCCAGCACTGTCCAGGACAGGGCTGGCTCCTGCCCTGCCCACCCTGGGGAAACCCCAAGATCTCCCCCATTCCTCCTGCATCCATTTATGGCATTCCTGCAGCATTCCCCCAGCGCCTCTGAGGAAAAAGGGAGCATCAGTTCCTCAGGACAAACAGCAGGACAACGATCAGACCCCAGAGGAACGGCCTCTTCAGCCAACTTCT